TACATAATGAAATTTCGAGATATTTATTTTTTTTCTTAAGTTTTCTATGATATAATTGGTCGATTATATTAACCTGCGATATAGCAACCTGCATATTTAAAAACATTCTTTTTTTTTAAATATTTTATATTTATCATTAATTGTGTGATTTAACTCAAAAAAAATACAACCGATTTTGACAGTCCCAATTTGAAACTTCATCCACCATATCCATGTGAAGGCGGTTATTATCGGGAAGAATCTATACTGTTATTAAGGAAATTTTTCGTTAGAGAAAATGAAAATGGTAAATTTTTGTTTTGAAATTAATTTATGGTTATTATAATTATTTAATTTGTTTTATAACAATAATAATAATAATAATAATAGCTCCAGTACCAAAGAAAAAAATTAATCGAGTTTTAAAAACTGAGATTAAACCGATAGAGCAGTAATTATTAGGTATGTAACATGTAATCAATTTAAATAATTAATATGTTTATAAATTTTTTTTAATTTAATAAAACAAGTATATTATATTATCTCTTAGTTTGTATACAAATAAGAAACAAACTTGTCTTTAAAATATTTATTTTGATTAAAAATAAATTTTTTTTATATTTAATATTTTTAAATAATCATACATATAATATTAACTTTATTAAATATTGAAGACTTTTACTAAAACGCATCTGTGGTGTTTTACATCTATGAATACATTATCTAAAAAGCCTGGCAAATTAATCGGTGTAGTATGTTCTAAGTTAAAATGTTTTACGCACCCAAAAACACTTCCCAATCTTATAAAAACTTATAAAAATAATCAAAACATGTAATAGGTATAAAATACTATTGCTATGTTTTATAATTATTGATATTGAAATAAAGATTTTTTATATATCAGTAAAAAGATTATAATTTACTTTAAAAATTTAAAAAAATATATTAATTATAGTTTTTATATACAGTCAGATCTCTATAAATGCAACCTTTTTAAATGTATGTTCTATAAAAAACCTCCATAAATGCATAGCCTTGCTATATCTCTATTATATATACACTTATAGATTTTTATCTTTCTAAATATTATACTTCTCTAAATACAAGATTTTTTAAGTTTTTTTTTATATAGTTTGTACAAATTGCATTTAGAGAGAATTGACTATATTAAGTAAAATTAATAAAATTATAATAAATAATTTTATAAATATTTTTTATAATTATATTAAAAATAGGGTGTAACAATTTGAGTAGTAGTTAAGTTGTTACCCAAGTGGCAGGTTAATATAATCGACCAATTATATCATAGAAAACTTAAGAAAAAAAATAAATATCTCGAAATTTCATTATGTA